AACAACCCCAAATATGCCAGGTTCTTCCTCTGTTTTCCCTCCTTTTTGCCTTTAACAGTAAAATAAACTAGTTAAAGAATAAATGCCAACATTTCAAAACATATTATAGGATGTTACATACCAATACATCTGACACAGAGAAAAGCCTAAAGCAGCCTTATTTTAATGACCCCTTTTAAAAGTGCTTATTAGTAGCATTAAAATAGGTATATATTAGCTTTGCAAATTGAGCACTATACTTTTACTAAGGATCTAAGAACCATAATTTTAAAAAGTAAGAAGAAAGGTTTCTAGTGGCCAGTTTATACTTTTCTGACAAAAGAAATTGAAACTGAAATGAAAATGCAGAAAAAATTCGAAACTAGCAAAGATATATAAAGCACATAAGATGCTAAATTACCTTACATAAATCAATACTAAATTGTAATGATACATACTAAAAGAATTAAGAAGCGCTGAAAAAAGAAGGCCTGTTTTAAAGTTAAATGGTGATTTTACATGCATTTTGCATTATGATCCAATCTTTAATTATTCTAGTGCTTGCTTTCTTCTTCCATTGCACACTAGAAATTTATACTGAACACAAAGAAATTACCATGAGGTAGTCAAGGCTGGAAGCTGAGAGTGCAATGCCTGCTCTAAGGTACTGATGCACACACTCTCTATATTCTTATCCTGCAGCAATTTGAACTAATTCACAGTATTTTACCCATCAGTGGAAGAGAAACTATTCTGTGATAAAAGACGGTACACAAATAGTTGAAGTGCAGCAGAGGACATTGTTTACAAAGACATTTATGTATGAAAAAAGTAATTCCTCATCATTTTCTATTGTACTGAAATCTCAACAATAGGATGGAGAAGGTATTTTAGTGTAATATATTTCAAGAGACGGGTATTACCACACAAAGTTTTTATAACTTTTTAGTGCTATATAAACTGCCACTGGTACTTAACTGTAATGAGTATTAAAAGATAGAGCATTATTTGTTTCAATTCTAATGTAAAGGGCATAAAACAATTATGTTTTGTTAACAGTTATGTTAATTCATTTCTCAATAATCACACTGAGCACTATAAAAATGCAGTGTTCTTGCACTGAGACTTAAATTTTGATGGCTTCATGATGAGCATTGCGTGTAAAGGCTGCTGATCTTGAGGCAGTATATATAATACGCCTGAGACACAGTCTCTAACAAACTTTGTCTAGCAAGATACATTTCTATGTGACTACATTTTTTAGACGATTTCTTACAAATCATCATAACCCACAAAAATGTCTCAAATGTGTTTGCTGGCTACAAGATACAAGCCATTTTCTCCAAATTGTCCTATTACTGCAGAGTATTAGTCTCATCACAGACGGGGACTTCAGGACCTGCAAAACTAACCTCCTTCTTGAAATTCTGTGCACAGCCTTCTGATTATGAAGAAATACACATTCTTAATACTTTATTAAGAAAGCAGGTTATGTCCCATTACCTTAGTACATTGAAGTACAACCTTAGGCGTATGCTTGGTGGATTACAGACTTGCACAGTCAAGTTGCTCAGTGAGCTCCTTCCTGTTTGACCACTATAAAGGAGATTGTGTGTGGAAAGATCACCTAGAAAATGCTAACCAGATATGGAAATCCCATATTCAAAATGAATTAGCTGTAAGAGACAAGCCTCAATTTAGCCTGCAACTGATACCAGCTATTCAAATTAATAAATAACTATTTCTGTCAGATGTTCACACACCCTCACACCTGACCCTCGTTCCTCACTTCACGTTGTGAACAATGCCACTTCTTCTCTGTTTCAGAATATGAACTTTCTGGTAAAGAGTATACAACAGGAATAGGGAGTACACGAGTGAAACAAGAACCCAGCTTTCTGCTGTGCACTGGAGTCCTAACAGGTGTAAATCTGTTATTATGACCAGATATTTCAATAGAAGGAGAAAAGCCAAGTAATAACACACTGATAAAAGACTGGTCCATTTTGCCCCATGTTACAAAAAACTTGAAAAGCTCTCTGTTTATTTAGCAAAAAAGTCTCTAATATATCTGAATGACCTTGAGTTAAAAAAGAATACCAACAGATATATAAAATACTGTATCACTTAAAACCAAAATCTATCTGTATCGTTTTTAGAGGACTAAAGTGATATCCACAACTGAACTGATGCTCTTCCCTTTCCTGGAAGGTGAGCTTGTCCCAGACAAAACCAATGGAAATGTTATCTTCCTTGCCCAGCCTTCACAACTGTACGTCATGCCCCTGAAAGTCATCCTTGGTGGCTTCCAATTCCCAGGTTCCGCTGCATAAAGAAAGAAACTCTGCAAACTCTGCACAGAGCAGAACTCTATCCCTTGTCCGTTCAAATGAGACTTTTCTACGAACTAGTCTGCAACAAGGCTGCAACTGGACAATATATCACTCACTCTTCGGTAAATATTTTAATGGACGTATTTCTAAAGCAACACTGCTGCAAACTGAGCCAAACCTGGAGAAAGACACTGAAAAAAAAAAAAAAACTGTGGCAAAGTGGGAACAAGAGCTAATCTCAAAATAACTTTTTCCTACTGCATTTCATTTCCTCAGTATTGCATACCCATACGACCAGTCTTGGTCATGCTCCAATGTCACAGTTTAAGACCAAATTGACCGTGCAGAGACTGCACGGACTCGGATACCTTTTAATGGCAGATTTATGAGTTACATGACTTCCCCGTCCCGCAGGCAGACAGCACCATCCAGAAGAAAAGACCAGGCAGGCCAGGCAGCAGGCAGGGGTGCCCAGGCTGCGCGCAGGGCCCGTCGGGTTGCCCGCCATTTCGGGGCGACCTCAGGCGCTCTCTGGAACGGGGCTGGCGGCAGGAAACACCCGACTCCGATTGGCTCACTCAGCTGCCGGAGGGACTTGCCGATTT